TTAACCCTATCTAGACTAGGCTTTTTGAAACTTTCGGGAGACTAGGGGGGGCACAAATTGCCCCCCTCCGTAATTTCTTTGTCCCTCCAGCTAGGACAATGAACTTTGTTTGGATGGTACTCTTATCTGTTCTCCACATTTTAGTATTTTTGTTCAATTTTTAAGTCACGTGGTTTTACGATGACGTCATCATAATGGTGGCCGGGTGAAGCAAAAATTTAGAAAATTTTAGAAAATCTTAAAATATTCATTAATTCCAAAGCATTGGGCTAAGATATTAAAATAAGCAAATTTGATGCATTTTCTAATAGAAACAAGAAGATTGACACAATTTTAATGCTACTTCTCAAAATTATTAACGTTCCAAACAAAAGAACTCAACATATTTTGTATTTGGCTATAGTTTTTTCTATATAACTAAATGATCGATACAACCAAATGTCATGTGTATCTAATCTGTCTGAGCGGCGTATCAGCTCATATAGTGAGCACCTGAACTAATTCAGATATCTCGTTCACAGATATCCAGGAACAGATAGTGATTTGCGCCATCCAGATATATTTTGTTTGTCCGTGCCATCTCTATTATTCGCATAGTAGATGTAACGACGATCCATATGTGCAGGTTCATTATTTCTTGAATCGCTCCTCCGGAGTTTTTTTCTAAAACGATAGAAACCTTCGTTGTTTCTGATTTGATAAGCGACGCAGTGCGACAGTTACTTTGTTGCACGTCGAGCAATTAAGCCCGTATTTCGGAGTAGCGATCAGAAAGAAGCTAGTTTCACCGAGTTCGCACTTAGTATCGTCATTTTTCGTTAAAGAGATATCCGAGATGGGTCCGGGCTGCTTGGCTTAATTTATACGATGCTGATTGAAGAATCTTGGTTTTTAAAAAAAAAACGTTATTGCGAACTGGACGTCTATGAAAGTATGATGGCAGTGCTTTTATATCTATCCTGATATATAAAATACTTCTGGCTCATTATTTTTGCTATGACCAAGCGTGTACTCCTGTCGACTGTGTCCGAGTTTCTATCATCGGTCATCTTATTATTCCTTCTTACACGTCGTCTGTGTGTACTAACCAGTGAGAGCTATGTACGATCATTCAGCGATCTCCAGAGATAGTTAAATCATTCACAAGCTCTACGGAGATGTCATGTCATTGTACACTCTGAGTGAATTATGAACTCCTTGTGAGAGTAGAAGCACATCTAAGATTATAACTAGTAATGTGTCTTTCGCTATTGAGAACACTTTCATCAAGTCTGTATCAGATCAAAAGAGATATCCACTTTTAAAGGTGTAAAATCTCAATATTGGAGGGTGGCTCTATAGTCTGACCTGAATGATTAGATGAGAAACTGGCTTTGTGCGAATGTGTCACGGTGGTAGGACTCTAATTTTTATGAGGTGGTGTGTAGAGTGGTTGCGAAAGGTGAGTCCAAAGAACTGTTCCGCAGTGGTCCACAACTTATCAGTAAAAACCTATATAAAAGCATGACAGAGCATCGGATGCAAACCTAATATTCTTATCATATACTCATACTTCTCAGATTTACTGGGTAGGGGTCTGTTTCACTAACTTTCGAAAATTGAGCTCTACGTTTTCTTACAACTGTTTCTTATTAAAATGAATGTGTGTATATAGTGCCTCCTTTGGTTATCAACTGAAGAACAAATGGCCATTGTATATAAATCGTTCACTCTCTTTTCCTCCGTGTTTCCTTTAACCTATCCAGACTAAGGGGGCCACAAAGTGCGCCCCCTGTTGGTTTTTCTTTCATACTTCAGGAGTTTCAAAGCAATCACCCCTCAGACTTGCCTAACTTTTTTAGTTTTAAATATCTGACACATGTTCACTATAGAAAGATAATTTTCTTATTATTAATCAGGGGTTGTTAGGGGAATTTTCAAAACTAGTCAAAGTAAAAATATTTCAATCTGCCACGGTTCTGCGCAACAAAATTAGAATATATTGATTGAAAATTAGTATCTAGACATTAAGTCTGTGCTCTTTTCATGATTCTGACCAAGAAAATTCAAATTCAACATCCTTTTCTATGATTTTTCTGCTGCGCATGCCACACATTTGTTGACATATTTATAAGTATTACATTAATAAAAACTGCAAGATTAGAATAATTGTCTTCTAACGGCATTAAAATGAACTCAAACA